TTGCCAAAATAATTATGCTCTTTTCCAAATTTAATGAGGCTAATTCTTGTATGATAGACATGCAACCCATCCCTAGACACATAACTGAAGGAAGCCCTTTACACTTCTGTGGCATAGCCTGTAAGAACCCAACGATACCTCCACACCACAGTGAGGCATTGGAAGAGGAACTTAGTTAGAATATGGCCTTATACAAACATAATAAGGTACATTATTTTCAGCTGACCCAAAGTGGGGCATTGGAGTAGAAAAATCAGTTGAAGTATGAGTTGGACATATGGCACATTCTGTGGATTTAGACTCCCTGACCACCAACTAATCAATAAGAATTTAAGTGATAAATGCTTGCAAAATGCTCTTAGAAATTCTGTTTTCTTTTTTTAAAGATCATCCCCACCCTGACCGCTGAAACTATATGGGTGCTCTGCTTATGGACAGAATCATTACACACAAGCATTCCTACATTTCTCCAGTCTTGTTGCACTTTACTCCCCTTCAGTTATTGTTTCTTGCACATGACACTCCTTTTCCTGACTCCATGCTTTGCCACTTGCTGCCCTCCATGCCTAGAGAGCACTCCTTCCTTTCTTCTGCCTCCTGGCTTCTCTGGTTTCCTTCAAGACTCACCTTCTGCAGTAGGTCTTTCCAATTCCCCTTCACTGCTGGTATGTTTCCTCTGAGATTATTTCCCATTTATCCTGGGTAGATATCTTACATGTATATCTTATATGTACATAGTTATTCTCATATTGTCTCCATTATTAGACTGTGAGTTCCTTGAGAGCAAGAATCATGCCTTTGCCTTTCTTTTTATCCCTAGATTTTATACAGTGGCTGGCACATAGTAAGGACTTAATAAATGCTTGGTGACTGACTGACCAGGAGAATGACAAACAAAGCAAGTGCAAAGATCTTTGGGGAAACCTCCATATCTTTACCACAGACATCACCTGGGAAGAAAAGAATAAACATATATGTTCACTCATTTGCACAACCTACCCAGGAAATACCAAAAAAAAGTTTTACCTTACAGATGAGGATGTTGAGGCTAAAATAAGATTGAGAAAAAAGGTTAAGATTACCGAAAGTCTTGCCTACAAATTTCTAGCCAGACCCAGTCTTATAGACGGAAATTAGAAACAGGTCTCCTGATGCAGACATGCCAACATGCTCAAAATCATGTGCTTCTGATATGAGGAAAGTCACTGAAGCATGAGTTCTTCTGAAAGCCAATCTCTGAAAGCAGTAAGAGAAATTGGCAGAGATGATTCTAGCCCTGGGAACTTGATCTTGTGACATGTTAGTCATGCTGTGCATACTTTGGGGTTTCTTCTAATTGGAGAGGGATTGATAGTTTTTTTATGATTAGATAAACTTGATCAAAAATGACCTGAAACTGGAGGTACACTCAAGAATGGCTCCCTAATCTTAATCTGTTGTCAGTTGGTACTTCCATCAAGATTTTTAACGATAATCTTTTTCACTTAATCATGTTTGTGTCACAGGACTTTAATCAATCAACAATCACATATTAAGCATTTACTATGTGGAATCCACTGTACTAGGCATTGGAGATACAAAGCCAAAAGTGATACCCTTGAGAAAACATAGAAAACAAAGTAGATAAAAATAGTCATCTTTGCTTCTTATCTACTGGACTCATTGGGATTTTCCATTGATTTTGACCTCCCCATGCTCCTTGGAAGGAAGATCTTTTAGTACCCTGTTATCTGCAGCCTCTAAGTTTTCTCACAAGCTTCACTTCTCACCTGTAATGCCCTTCCTATCCCAGTCTACCCATATCTTTCCCTTTTCTCATTCTTAAACATCCTTAAATGATCCTTCTTCAAATTTGCTACCTGAAGTCTTGCCTGGGTAGCTTGCTACTAGTCCCATACTGCCTTCTTGGAATGTAATATTGCAAAGGAACTTAAGATATTTGGTATTCAATGCCTTTAATATTGTTATCTTCATTTCTCACTTAATCAATTGTTCTTATATTATAAAATCTTTATAGTACTTTCCCTATTGAAACAGGTATCTGTGTGTATCTCCTTGAATAGCTGTCCACCTCAGTGTTGTCTGTTTGGATTGCAAATTCATTAAGGACAAGGATTGGGTAGAATTATTTTACTTTATGTGAAATCACGTTGAAGGGAGGTTTTTAAGAAGGTGATTAAGTTATGTCACTGTCTTGTTTTCACAGATTTCTCATTTTTTCAAAATAACCAGTGTTACTGTCTTTTCAAAATGTTAAATTAATACCCGTTGCTCTAAGGGCATCTTTCTTCACAAATGCCACTACTGGTTCTCCTTTGCCACCCCTCTGCTGAAAAAGCAAGGTTTTACCAAAACAAAGCAAAACAAAACCTAAGAATTCTCCCATCAGTCTCTCTAGTTTCTTACACCCTCTCTGCCAATGAGAACATATCTGACTCCTGGTTCAGAACGTAAAGATCAGGAATGGGGTAGATAACTCTAGGTTAGTCATTCACCTTGTTTTATCACATTTGGATACTGGCACATTCTGTGACATCACCAATGTATATGAGAATAAAAATGTGTTATAATCAAAATGGCAGGAAATATTTTTTTCTGTTAGTAATAATTGAACTGAAAAATCTAGATAATGAATAGTCATTATATCATCTTAAACTAATACCTTAGCAAAAACAATACAACAACTAATTCCAGGTATACTTTTTGTCTAACATCTGTTTAGTCCTGCATCTGGAAATGCAAACACACTCACATACACACACACACACACACACACACACACACACACACACACTTAGTCACTGGTCCACAGTGGATACATCTATTACTGTATCACCTAAATATTGATTCTTGAGATAATAAATGAATGAATAAAAACACATTATTAAAGAGTAATTATGTGCCTGACACTATTCTAAGTGGTAGGGAAACAAATATGAAAAAACCTTGCCCTCAAAGTGTTTATATTCTAATTGGGGGGTGGTGGCCGAGAAAGGTGTTTCAGTCATAGGTTTAGAGGTAGAAGGGACTTTAGGGATCAACTAATTTACCTCCCCCACTGCTGCTATTTTTATCATCAAGGAAACTAAGACCCTGAGCAAGTAAGTGAAATGGTCCAGGTTATCCAGGTCCAGGTGGCAGAGTTGGAATTTAAACTCAAAGAGGCATGTGTAAGATAATCTATAGGGTACATCTTACAGCACCAACAGTTGGATGATGGAGATTGGAGAACCCACTCCCACTAAATAACTGATCACAGGGTGTGTGGTCTCAAACAATGCCACCACCTCCTTCATTAGGGGTGCCCACTGGAGGAGATCTAGTATGTAGGGTACATATGAACTGGGGATGGGTGAGGGAATTTTCCCAACTGTGCCTGAGTCACAGCTGCTCATGGGCATCTAGGTTATAACTACTCCAAGCAGCCAGTCAATAACTGGCACAAGAGGAGAAATTAGCAGCAAATCCAGGGGTATCTCTCTACCGCTCCTGCTACCAATGTCTCTGCCCTGCCTCTTCCTTGCCAGAACCAAGTAGCATTTTAGCCTTTAAATTTGCCACCCCCAAGACATTAAAAATTAATTTTTTTTTTGGTATGAGTGGAGGTATATACTTGTATTCCCTTGCCAAGGTAACTTGGTCCCCTGCCCCACTTGATTTACCTCTTATCTAGCTCAAGGTCACACACTCTTTCCACTTCTTTATCCGATGATCCCACCCCATTTAACTCAGGCAGCCAGATCCCCAGACATTGTCTTGCCTTCTAGAATGATCCCAAGCTCTAATCCTACTCCCGCTACCCAGGCAGTTTGGTTCAAAGATGCTAGGACCCAATCCTATACTCTCCTTACCCAGGGACCATTTAAAATAATATTTAAAATATATTATTTAAAATAAATCGAGGTATTGTACCTTTGATAAGATCTTTAAGATGTTGTTCATTTCATCTTTTAAAAATATCTCTCTAATCATTTTATAATGTATATAATATATGGGTATAGTAGTACCTGTAAAGCAACTTCATTGTGTTATAGGAAACTTTTTGGTGAGCAAACTCCCTCTACCAAAGCAAGTTGATGCCTTCTCCAAAATTTATAGTCTTAGCAGCACTTAGAAGTTAAGTGAGTTGACCAGGGTCATACCATCAGTAAGCAGCAGAAATGGAACTTGAAATCAGATTTTCCTGGATTGGAGCCAGCTGAGCAAGCCCTGAGTCACTCTAACTCTTTTATACATTAATAAATATAGATAGGCCATGGAAGCATGATCAATTTTTTTTAAACTAATAGGGAGATGTGATTAACAACAAAGAAAGTCTGGAGATCATTGCTTAGATGAGAAATGGACTGACCTGCTTGGAAGCCACACAACTTCTTTTCCAGGTCTTCTAAGGTTCAGTCTCATACTCTTTCCACTACTGCCCTAGATACAGTGTTGCTTGACTTAGTCATCTGTTGATCCATTTTGGCCTCATACTTAACTCAGCTTCCACTCCCCAAATGGATCATGGGGATAGAGGGTGTAGAAATAACAAGAGAAGCAGAATCTACCACCTCCTAGCTGTGTTCCCCATTCTCCCCCCTTCCCCTTCCCTCTCCCTCTCTCCCCTCCTCCTTTTCCTTCCCTAACCCTAGGTACTACCTGAACCCTGTGGCAAGGGCTCTGTGGTTAAGTCTACTGGACACACCAGAACTAAATGAAAATCAGGGAAACCAATCAGACTGCATTGTCAAGGTGATGCCAAAGACCTCCTGTGGCCTTCCTTTTAAAAGTTTGTATTTTATTTATTTAATTTGCTGAGTTGATTCCATCAACTGGCTGTGGGGGTTTCATCTAGGCTAGACACACCTTGGCTAGGTAATGGTTCCATTACCATCTTCGGACCACAGTTCTAGCAAACACGGGTACAAATATTTACTCAAAGTACCAGAAGTCTTGTATTAATTTATTTGTTAGCTCGCTTTGGCATTAGCCTTTATTTACCAAACTTTTGAAATGTCTTCAGGAAGTAGGGCCTGGGCTTGTGCATAGCGATAGCCTTAGGACTCTTAACTTTTCCAAAGCATAATTCCCATCCCTCCTTTTCACCGGGATCCTTCCTCTACCTCGGGCCCCGTGCCTTTCGATGCCTCCCTTCCAGTAGCTGAGGCTCTTTGGGGAAAACTGTGTGTTGGAAGCGTTTCCCTCTAGTGCCCAGGGCTCTGTGAAGAAGCTGCTGCGTAAACGCAGAAGATAAATGAATAGAATCAAGCCCACCGCTAGGCTTTCTGTTGGAGAATTCCGCCAGCAGCCGCCAACCGAGTTGCCTTTCCAGGCAGCTGAGTCACAAACAAGATTTGCCGGAGGTGAGTTCCTCATATCCTTGTTAAGGTTCTGGAGGCACGCCTTCTTTTCATACAAACCTTTCAGATAGAAGCAGATTCAGCAGACTTCAAGGGGGTGGGAGGTGCCACTGTAGAACTGTAACTGCCAGTCTTGCCGGACGGGTCTGGGAGAGAAAGCCGACAACATCTCGGGATTCAAAAAGCGGGTGCCTATTTCCCCCTACCTACCCCATGACTGTCGCCTGCTGAAAACCCAATTCTGCTTTTACTGCTGTGGTCGAACCCCGGGAAGCTGCACAGCTGGGACACTCGGTGAAGAGAAAGGGAGCCGGCTGTGAAACCCGACACCCATTCCTCTGCAAGCAAAGGAAACTTCGCACGCTGGTGAGTTGGGGAAGCCGGGCGGCAGCGGAGCAGCAGTGATGGCTGGAATGCGCTTCCCCTTGTTCAGTGTAGACGCGTCAGCCAGCTCTGTAGCCGGGTAGGGAGGAAGTGAGACGTGGAAACGGAGGTGCTGTGGGCCTGCAAAGAAGCAGACAGCTGCCGGGTTTTCTGCAATTCTCAGGCTTGGCGTGGCAGCCTGGAGACGCGCGGTTTCCAGCCTAGTCGGACAGGGAGAAGGCGTTGGCATGCAGGGCAAGCAGCTGGAAACTTACTTGGAGGCTTTTGTGGAATATTTGTATTTCAAACAGCTGGATCTGTTTAGTTTCTTTTTTAAGTAGTGTAGTGCCAACTTCTTTCAATTTAGTGGGATGTCAATTAGAAATAACATGTTTCTGATCTGATCTTCAGTGAGAAAATGAGACTGACTAAGGCAAAAGAGTCTAGTTGCACATTTCACTAGGTGAAACAGAAAACTCAGGAATAATATTTATTTCCCCCTTTTAAAAAAGCTCCTTTGCTCCTGTTTTGAACTAAATTCGGCATCTTTTATTTTGATTCAAGGGGTCAGAATGTATTAAGCTTCATTCAAAGGATTTCTCAATATCAATGACAGTCTGAAATCTAAGGATGCCCATGCCGAGGAAATGCTCAGTTTAAAAGGCAGAGAATGCCTCAATGAAAGCAACTTCTGATAAATGCCTGCTACCTGAAAGATCAGTGCCAGCTGTTTCTGTCCAGAGCTAAAATTAGTTGCATGACCCTGCAGGTGCTCATATGAGATGTCATCAGTCCAAAACGGAAGGTCTATGCCTTCAATGTTATGGACAAGAGAATTGACATATAGGTCATTCACATTTGAGTAGCAGAGTCCCCTTTTCCTCAGGGTGCAGTTTGTCAGCCTAAAGTAGTGCTCAGTATGAGTCAGATTTTGATGATCTAAACTTTGAAAAGTGGTAGATAAAAGCTTTTTAACAAATCGATGCTGGATTTTACAGCTCTATATTTTGGGACATACGTTATTGTACTAGCAAACTGTGACATTGGTAAGCTAGTCATCACCCATAAATCATAATAACAAAGCTGTTCTAAGTCCAAGTAGAATGGTCAAAATGATAACTAGCTACATGCCATTTGTGGCATTTGCCCCCAAACAGTTGTTCATATTCCTTAAATGTCTTCTCCTCCTTCCCATGAGATCAGGCCTCCCTGCTGCAAAAAGGAGAATCCTATAGAGCTGAAAACATATTCTATTCATGGCTGAATAATTTAATATTAATAAGCTTTTTTTGTTTGCTAAAATATACTATGCACACTCGACTTGAGTTTTTACATCATTGCTTTCAAAAGGAACACAAAGCATTTCAGAAGAAACTGGATGAGCCTGTTCTAATAGTTGCCAAGAAAGGATACGAGGAAACTGTCAAAAACTTGAGCAAATGACAATTCCTCCTTCTCATCAGTTTTTTCCCCACCTCTTGGACACACACATGTTTAACTTGACAGGAAAGGAAATTTGTTGGAAACTGATAGTGCTTTTCTGCAACTTGTCATTTGAACAAATACAAAGTTCATTTGCAGTGTTGTCCTAAGATTTGCTTTTTTCTGGTCTAATGAACTATTTGGGAAAAGTGGAAGTGATCTAAAAAAAAAACAAAATTCTGAAAAACAAAATATCTGGCGATTTTTAATGTTCAAACCAGGAGACTTCTGCTTAATTTCATTAACCTAAATACTAGTTCACTAGACCCAGATTCTGCAACAAAAGATTAAGGGATTGATAACACAAGTGGGAGAGTTCTGATATGGATTAATCTAGTTCTTTGAGTATATTGGCTAAAGATGTGATATTTTAGCAGTAGTACAACTTTTTAGATACATGGCTATTACAACACTGCCTTAGGGAAATAAAGAGACAAAAAACAGAGAAAGTATAAAACCATCCCTTGCCAGTAGTGATGGTATATGGTACAATGGTTAGAGCCCCAAGCTTACAGTCAGGAAGACCAGAGTTCAAATATGGCCTTAGATACTTACTAGTCATGTGACCCTGGGCAAGTCATTTAACTTCTGTTTTCAATAATTTCTTCTATTGTCTATTGGGGATAATAACAGCACTTATATCCCAGGGTTGTTGTGAGGATCAAATGAGGTAATATTTGTAAAAACACTTAGCACAGTAGGTGCTTAGTAAATACTTGTTCTCTTCCCCTCCTAAAGAAAAGTGGTCCTGGGTAGGTAGGTAGCACAGTGGATAGAGCTCTGGCCTTGGAGTCAGGAGGACCTGAGTTCAAATCTGACCCCAGACACTTGACACTTACTAGCTGTGTGACCCTGGGCAAGTCACTTAACCCCAATTGCCTCAACAAAAACAAAAAAAGAAAATAAAAGTGGCCCTGTCCTCACCATTAGCCAAGCTTATGAACTCAGAATGTAGAAACCTAAATGAGATGATAATAAGATTCTGTCTGCACCATGCCAAAAAAGCCAGAACAAGAAGGCAGCAATCCCAAACTCATTAGTTCAGTCACCTTAGTCCTATAACTAGTCAATTAATGGGCAGAAAATCCATCAAGTTCATTGTTAGTTTAATATAGGTGTGGCAAGAAAAGGATCAGGTACTGTCACCATGAAATTCTGACTACTAAATCAAGAATAATCCAAATGTGAAAGAAAAAAAAAGGAGTCAACTAAAGAAACCAATTTGATTTCATGATGAACAAATTTTAAAAGAACAATGTAGTGAAGTTGGAAAGGGAGGCATCTGATTAAAGATGAATTGAAAAGAATGTCACTAACCGATGAGGATAACATCAGGCAGTAGAAAGCTAGGAATGATGTGAGGTTCAGAAAAATGCTAAAGCCCAACAAAAAGGGTTTGGGGAAAGGGTATGGTCATAGTGAGAAGATGCATAAGGAAGGTCTTTTGGGTAGTGTAGTGGCAAGAATTCTGAATTTGGAATCAAAGGACCTGGGTTAGAATCCCAGCTTTATTATCTCTCCTTTGTGGTATTAGCCAAGTCAATTAATCTCTGGGCCTTGGTTGTTTTTTTTGTTTTTTGGGGGGTTTTTTATTTTTGTCTGTTTTTTCATAAATAGAGCCAGGTGGTTGGACTAGATGACCAGGCCAGCTCTTAACCTTTGATTCTAAGCTTATCACTTGAGCCCAAAGACAAACAAAAAGAACTACTTAACTCCCATTTTGTTTCAGTCTTTTTCCTGATTGAACAATGATCTTGGAACAATGGGATCATAGATTCAGAGTTGTAAAAGAACATCTGAGGCTATCTGGCCTAAACTCATCATTTTACAGAGGAGGAAATGGTGGCTCAGAGAAGTGAAATGATTGCCCAAAGTCACATGTGTAGCAAATGTAAAGCTGGGATTTGAACCTCCAACTCTAGACCTAGTGCTCTTTTTGTTCTACTAGACTATCTTTCAGAGTGTAAAGGGAAAAACATTGTTAATAAGAAATTAAAGCTCATAGCAGATAAAAAAGGTAATAAGAGAGCATGGATTCACCTTAAATAGGTCCCTGTTTCCAGTTCTAATCAATTACATTAAAGAATTCTGAAAGAATTTGCAGATGTGATCAAAGAGGCACCTCTGAATAATCCTTAAGAAATCATGGGGAAATGGAGAAATGCCAGAATTCTGAAGACAGGCAAATGTCCCAATTTTTCAAAAAGAACAAAAATAGATTCAGATAACTATAGATTAGTCAGTTTGATGTTGATGCCTAGTAAAATCCTACATGAGACTGTTAAACACAATGTTTGTGAGCCTTTTAGAAAGATGACAGTGATCATTAGAAACCAGCATGGTCTCACTAAGAATAAATTATGCCAAATTAACCCAGTATAAAAAGGAAATTCATTAACTGGACTGATAGTTCAAAAGAATACCACAGTTTATCTTGATCTCAGTAAGGCATTTATCATAATGGCTCATGATACCTTCATGGAAAAGATGGACTAGATATGTTCCAACTAGCTGAATAAACACATGCAAAGAATATTAATTAATGTATCCATGAAAACCTAGAGGTAAGATCCTACAGTCATGCCTCTGGTACTGTTTTTAGCCCTTTACCATTCATTATTTTTATCAGTGACTTGGCATCAGGAATGAAGCTGAAGTGTATAAGACAATATAGCCCTGAAGGTAGCTCTCTGATCCATCCCCTACTCAGTTTTCGAAATTGTTTTCCTGAGGTGGAGGTCTGCCCCAGCAAAAAGCACAAAGGCCATAGTGATGCTGTGCCTTGTATAGCCCAGAACAAAAGCTGACCCTTCCAATCCAGCCAGTTAAGGTAAGAAAATAATGGTGCCAAGAGGGTGAATCAACATAAACAAGACCTGAAACTAGGCAGAGCCAGATAGACTGGGAAAGCCTGACCAACAGGGATTATCAAAGGTAAAATTCAAGGAGAGAGCAAGGAAACATGTGACGGTGACTTCTGTAACTGATGAAATTAGAGAGCTAGAAAGCAATAGAGTTGGAAACAACAGAATAGCTGTGAGATGAGTGTGGGATCACTTTGAGCATTGTGGGAATTTAATGGAATGATTGAAAGCTATACAAGTTGGATCTAATGGTGCATTGGTGAGCTGCCCTGGTCTGAAAGGGGCTATACTTCTAGTAGAACCTCCAGGATTGATAGAATGGCAGTATTAGTCTTCTTAAACCAAAGGATTTTCTGGAACAGAAGGTAAGGGAATGTATGAGGAAAATGGAAGGATCCCTAGTCCCCAAGGGGAGAACTCTTTCCCCCTCACTTCTGCTTTGTTTGGTCTTCATTGTTTCCTTCCCAAGAGGGAATCATGGAGGAGAGTGGGGAATCTAAGAGCTGACATGGGAATTAAAATATAGAAGGTATGCTTATCAGGCTTATGCATGATTCATAGCTGGGAGGGGTAGCTGGTATGTTGAATGACAGAATCAGAATTATCTTGATAGAACAGAAAAATTAACCAAACCCAACAAGATTTCATTTCGTTTAA